TAGGCCTCGAGATTCGTGTAAATAATGGGGCCCTTAATCTTCTACCATCCATTTTTTATTTGACGGTTACAAACAACTAGACACCCTCCTTGTCTGCTTAACCAAGGCAGGGACTCCGGATCCATGAATTACCAGTGATATGTAATGATGAAGAGGCCGTTTGGCAACACTATTTTTCGTCTTATTAGACTTATCAGCCAACTTTTTCACCAAATACGTAACTTTTGTTTTCGCGTGTAATAAGCAGGAAAAGTAAGGTTGAAGTTACTTTTCTGGTTGTATTAGCTGAAGTTACTATAGATGATCATTTTAGCTATTTTTACATACTCCGTATATATTTTTCTTTATTTTATTAGTAAAATATATTTTAAAAATATTTTTTTCTTAAATCAGTAGAATCAGCCAATGCAGCCACTTCAGTCAGAACTTCATAAATTTCAGCAAAATTCAGCCAAATCAGTCGATTTTCGTGCTACCAAACGAGCTAGAAATCATGAAAGTATGATAAGTTTTTTTTCTAAAAAACTCATTCTTCGTTATCTTTTACGGAGTATATTGGTAGAAAAAATTACCTCTCGTCTCATTAAAAGTTAATTATGGGTTTCCAAATTTTAATTCATACTTCCTTCAAAAAATACTCCGTATTGTACAATTCATACTCCGTATCAGAGGCCGTATGGCAACACTGTTTTTCGGCTTATCAGGCTTATCAGCCAACTTTTTCACCAAATACGTAATAAGCAGAAAAAGTAAGGTTACGTTGTAGTTACTTATCCGCCTGTATTGGCTGAAGTTACCTTTGATGACCATTTTAGCTATTTTTACATATAATTGTTTCTTAATTTTATTAATAAAATATATTTGAAAAATATTTTTTTCTTAAATCTGCAAATGCAGCCAATGCAGCCACTTCAGCTAGAACTTCATATATTTCACCAGAATCGGTCAAAGCAACCGATTTTCGTGCTACCAAATGGGCTCTATATTTCATACTTATTTCCAAAATCTATGTCCATCAATTTATACTTGTTTGGTACATTGTCTAATTGGATATAAGAATATCCAATTCAGTGGTACATTTAGAAGTTTTATCACTTACGGAGTATTTAAAACAATAAGAAGAGTTTTTTTTTTAAGAATAGTTTTTTTTGTAACGGTGCCCCACGTCTAATTGGTGCCCTAGGCTCATGCCTAGGTTCCTAGGGTCTAAAGCCGGCTTTGCATGGAGGGGACGAAGCTTGCAAGGAACCAGTAGTTAACCAACTTAACCGGCGGTTCCGGTACCAAGGTTGTGGCATGTGGACACTGGAGACGAAGGATAGTTCAAGGGATTAATCAAAATAATACTCCTAAAAGTTATGCTAAAAGTTGGATTTATTTATAGAAAACCCTAAAAGCAAATAAACTTAGCTTGCAAACACCATTTTTGAGTTTTTGAAGGTAAAAGTAAATAAGTGTTTTTTTTAAGCATTGACAAAGAGTAAGGTTGAAGTTACTCTTTTTACTACATTCACTATGATTATTTTAGATAACCATGTTAACTATTTTTAATATGTAATATGGAGTATAATTTTTTCCTTATTTTATTTACAAAAAATGTTTTAATTTTTTCTTTCAAAAATCAATAGAATCAGCTAAACCAACCGCTTCATATATTTAATAATTGAAATAGTATATTCTCCAAATTCCAATTGGAAGGGAGGAAAAGAAGAATGTAATCTACTTTTGAAAGGAGCTGAGGGAGCATCACGTGTATCACGTAAAGTATCGAATAATTAATCATATCTCTTCGATGAAGCGAACCATTAGCTTCTGGAGTTCCGTTCAACAGCGTCTCCTGCTTAATTGTATAGTGCTACTTTAACCAACTTTTCATTCACGCATAATATATTTTTAATGCTTTAAATTAAATCAAACAAATAATAATGGGTCGAAGCTTTATTTCCCAGTCAAAAGGATAAAGATAGATAGCTAACCTGCCATTAAAGCGATCTCGAGCTTTCAGAGTTTTATGGGTGAGATAGCGTTTTTAATTTGGAGGTATTCAGTTTTGGGGTGGTTGTTTTCCACAGTTATGGAACTGGGTTACAGTAATGCACATATATGAGTTCATGACTTGTCGCATCGCCATGCTAAGTGACCAACTTGAAATATTGTGACATTCAATTATATGGAATTAAAACAATGACATTAGGAATAGTATAGTAAATGATAAAACAATATCATATTATATGAAATGTAATTACATGACCATAATATTGTGGCCCTTGGTTGTAACTTCGACTTAATTGTCATTTAGAGTAACATACATATGCAAAAAATTGAATTACCCGGTCAAAATCAGAATTGACAATATCATATACTAAATCATACATGTGTCAATCATAATTGCATTCAACCACGTTATAAATTACTTCTAAAACTAATTACAATATGAAGTTCCTATTTAAAGCTAAGTCTAGTATGGTCAACTTAATTAAGTCAATCTGATACGGTATGTTTTAATCTATTTGAGTGTGGTCTGGTCTGATTTGGAATTGAAAACACTTCATGTAAAAACGTATTTGCACGCATGACCGACCAAATTGATACTTTGTTCATTTCAGCTTTAATTTGCCCTGGTTTAGTTTGATCCTAATGTATAGTTAAAACTAGGGGTGGGAAAAAATACCGAAATTTCGGTATACCGGACTTATTACCATATCGAAAAATACCGAATTTACCGAAGTGTTTGGTATACCGACACTTTTGGTACGGTATGATACCGTACCGAATTAATTCGGTATGGTATCGGTATATATTTTGGAAATAAACGGTATACCGTCATACCGTAATTCCAAGCCAATAATTTCTTTAAAATTATAAAAATAACTAGAAACACAACATTAATTCAAGGATAATGACTTTATATCCATGTTTCTTGAATTGTTTATATTTTTTGTTGGAGATCGATGTTATTTCAAATATATTTATGTTGTTTAAATTATTATTTTAGTAAAATGTGTTGTTGTCTTCATATATCATGTGTTGAAGTATCTGTGCATATTTATAATATTTTTTTGTTCAAAGTTCAATAGAACACAAATAGGTTATCAGTGGTATTTTATAATTAATTTCATTAATAATTTTAGTATATCACTATTAACACTGATTTTCTATATTTCATTTGATATATAATAATTTGATATTAAATCATGATAATTTACCGATACCGTAGCTTACCGTACCAAAATTTTGGTATACCGAAACAAGGTATACCGAAATTTAGGTATGGTAACGGTATGTATTTTTGCATACCGAAAGTTTACGGTATGGTAAAGGTATGGGATAAAATCTTCGGTATACTGTACCGAACCACCCCTAGTTAAAACATTCCTTTTTCTTCCCATTTTGATACCATGATTGTTTTATCATTTACTATTCCTAATGTATTAGTTTGATCCTCATTGTTTTATTCATTATCATAATAAGAAGTATGTTCCACTTGCTAAGTCACTTTTGTAGCATATGTTCCATTCCTTATTATCCATTTTCTGTGTTTCACCGTTTTTTTTTATCTTTTTCAACATTTTCCATCTTATTCCAACATGAATTTTCTTTTTTACACTGTATCATGCATTGAGAGCAATGTTTTTTTTCATTTGGTGCAACATTTATTTGTACTACATAAACAACATACAACCATGTTCAATCGTAAGCCATCTTTGCCCTTCAAATTATACGTGTTGCACATGGGTGTTTTCCTGATCGAATCAAATTATAAAATGTCAAGACAGAGACTTATTTGTGATCCATATCCCTAGTAAGACATGTCATACCATACAAAGTAATGCACTTATTGTCATACCATTACATAAACAACCAATATAATAACGCTCAAAGTATTTATCCACACAATCTTTTAAATTAAAAGATTGAGACGTTAATTATCAAATGCAACATGCTTCCAATTATAATCAAGATAATATGTGCTTACCTGTTTTAGTGAAAATTTTAATAAATGAAAAAACATGTATGGTATTAAAATGAGTAAATTTATGGATGTATTTCACTCTTGTTATGTTTGGGCTACACAAGTTTTTTAGGTTGATCTTTTCAGTCATTTGTTTCCTTTAAGTTTTTGCGGGCTATTTATTTAATGCATTTCTAGTCATGCAATGTTAGAAAAACATGGCTAGTCATATCATGGAAATTGACATAAATTTTAGTAATATATATAGGCAAGTTCCCCATTAAGAAAAGCATGTATGACATAGAGAGTTCTATAAGGGTTCAGTCATTCACTCCTAGGCAACTAAGCATACTCTTGTAAGCTTCTTCTTGGGCATGTATGTGATCATGAATTCCAATTCAACTTCATGTTTCTATCCTAATTATATGGACTTAATTCATGGAACATTGAGCTATAGGCGTATATGTCGTTTAAGAGACATCTTGTAAGGATGGAAGTGTGTAAATTAAGTGTGTAACATAAAATGAAACCCAAAATAGAATCGTGAATCTCTAAATGTTTATTTTCAATTCCTTGCACATAAACCGATGAACTAACTTTCCAACCTCTAAATGTTTCAGACCTAAACTTTAGCTAGCATACGTAAACTAAACTATTAGACACACTAACTTCTAAGTAGTATTCTCTCTGGCCAATATTAGCAAGATACGTAGTTTTTAGGTTGACATAAATATTACTTCGTATATACGATAGTACTTCGTATGAGATAACAATTAATTGTTGTTTAATTTTCTTCCTCTTAAAAAGAAGAAATATAATATATGAGCCAAACAAAAGGTAAAATGTGAAATGATAAACTACAAAGCACAAAGTTTTGGTATTTAAATGTAGAAAGTAAACATAATTTTAGGAGATACCAAAAAGAAAAGAGAGCCCCACAAAAATTCGTCAACAGTTGTCAACTTACCTAGAATAGTAAGGACTCAGCATGTCGTATATGAGAACAAAAACAGAACACTACTCCTAATCCTTATTCTTGGGAATCAAAGTCAGATACAACCAATCGTTCAATCAAATAGATGATGATGCAAAGAAGCTTGCAACACGACAAGGAACCTTCACACATAAATTGGCCAGCTCTATCCTTGCAAACATTCCAAACACTACCTCTTTTTCCCTTCTCCTTTTCTCTCATTTTTAGCTAGCTACCTCTCCACCTAGCTCAAATCAACCACACACCATATACATATTATTCTTTCACTCTTCTATTTCTTGTCTATCATATATACATAAAGGAAAATGGTAGGCAATTATACTTCTGATAATCTCCCACCCGGCTTTAGGTTCCACCCGACGGATGAAGAACTCATCATGTATTACCTTCGTAACCAAGCCACCGCTAGGCCATGCCCCGTCTCCATTATCCCCGAAGTCGATTTCTATAAGTTCGATCCTTGGGAATTGCCCGGTAAGTTGTGTATATGTTTACCGTATATAATCACCCCGAGAAGCGCGAACCAACAATTTACTGAGTACTTTTTTAGCTGAAAATTGTACTATTTGTTGGTGTAGAGAAAGCGGAATTCGGAGAGAACGAATGGTACTTCTTCACGCCTCGCGACCGAAAGTACCCGAACGGGGTTCGTCCCAATAGGGCAGCCGTCTCGGGTTATTGGAAAGCTACGGGTACCGATAAGGCCATCCATAGTGGCTCAAAATATGTTGGTGTCAAGAAGGCTCTTGTGTTTTACAAAGGAAGACCGCCAAAGGGTATCAAGACCGATTGGATTATGCATGAATATCGCCTTAGTGATTCAAGACCATCAAACTTCAAGCAGAATAATGGCTCCATGAGGGTAATTAAAAGCGATCTATATACGTATATATGCACGAAAATCTTGGTTTGCCATAGATATATGTCCTTTTATTCATTGGGTCAAAATTTTGAAAATGACTAAGTTTTTAGGGATAGAGATAGTAACTTTTTACTTATTTATCTATGTAACTTATTTTTATCTTTGTTGAATATTCATGCAGCTGGATGATTGGGTGCTATGTAGAATATATAAGAAGAAGAATATGGGAAAAGCCATAGAGATGAAGATTGAAGAAGAAGAGACAAACACAAAATATGGGAGTTGTTTTGAGGGCACAAGTAGTGGACCACAAGTACAAGGGATGAAGCTGCCAAGGGCATGCTCATTGACCCATCTCTTGGAAATGGACTGTTTTGGGTCAATCCCACAGCTCTTGGTTGAGAATAATGGCAACTTTGGTAACCAAAACACATTCATGGCCAATGGTGGAATTTTCCCTTTTACCCTTGGTGAACAACTCCCTCACCAATACAGCCAAAGCAATTGCATGCTGAATCAGCCCATTTTTGTGAACCCGTCTTTTCAGTTCCAGTGACATCATCAATAATGGAACAGATCAGATAAGCCCACTGAGAAATTAAGGGAATGGGATTTGGATTATTAAAGGATTGAAAGTGATAGAAAGGCTGGCGAAAGCAAAGGGTCATCAATTGTAAAATAATATCTCAAGATTGGGCCATTAATTAAGATCATCACACTGTCATGCTTTTGTCATGCTGCAATCAGCTGCTTAATTTCTTAAGCGGAAATACATTTGGACGTTTTAATTTTATATTATTATTATTATTGGTATATATATACTAATATACCTATAGCTCAACCGTGTTTGGGGAATTCAGTATAATTTATTAGCACTATTTTGCATGTGATATTGTAATAAAGCCATCTTCTATTGAGAATTCAAATCTTGTGTAAGACTTAAATTATTTTATTCAATTCTAGCCCGTGGGCCGTACGTGGCGGAGATGGTTATGGATCAGCATTTAAAAAGTACTCGGTATTATTTTATTCAATTCAATACTCACGTATTTGAAAGGTGCGGAAAATTGTTGTCCATTCACAATTCACTTATTTGAACGTGCATGCATGGTATGAGAGATAGCTAATTAGAAAACATTAAATAAAATATATATCTCCTTATTTGGATGATCTTATATACTTTTAGTTAGTTTTTGTTCATAATATCATACACAATAATGTCTAGATGTAGAAATTGTAATTAACATTGTTGAGAAAAACTTAGCAAAATATATAAGCATGTGGAAAGAATGAAATAGAAATTTCATAAATTTAATCTTTTGTATTTTATCTCTCTCATTCTACATGTGTATCGTGCGCATTGTAGCATTAGAGTGTTCTTATTATTTCAAAAAAAAAACGTAGACATAATTATATTAGTTCTATAATTACTCATTCTCGCCCATTTAAAAGTTCTTATACAATATAATGAAACGATCAACGAACTCTATCTTACTCTTAAATTGTACTATCGTATACTATAACTTTAACCATTTTCAAAATTTTCTTTTGCAAATTCAAGTGAACTTAACGTACTTTCTAAATATGTCAATTTTAATTGCTAAACATAACATATATATTATCAAGTAAGAATTATTTTTATCATTAGTAAATCATTATAAAAAAGTGTTGGTTTTATATAGAGGCACATATAAAAAAGTGTTGGTTTTATATATACTTTCTCCAATTATTAGCACTTATACAAGTGCTCGTACGTAGTATATATGCGCTCGTAACTTAAAAAAAAATCCCCAATTTCAATCCATGACCATATTAAATATAATTATCTGTTACCTTAATTTGATTTTCGAGTTGAGTACGCATATTGAAATATTCATACAATATATAAGTAACAAACTGTCAAAAAGTATAAGTTAAAATTAATTTCAATTTTAATGCTTTGTAATTATAATAAATTATTGACTACTTTTTATAAATATATCAAAAAATTGTTTATATTTTGAGTTCAAAAGCCTTAAAGTAATAGTTGTGACAAAACAAAATCAGTCCTTATTGGACACTACGTTTATTCCTTTTTAGTTTCCTTAGCTTTCTCTATGAATTCCATACATTTTGAGTTTCATTCTAATTTTAAGCTAAAAATAAAAATGTAAGCTAAAAATTTTGATGCACAGTACAGTGCCCAATAAAGACTAATTTTGTTTTATCACAACTATTACTTTAGAGGTATTGAACTCAATAAAAGAATATTTGCATATATTTATAAAAAGTTGTCAATAACTAAATATAATTACAATGCATTAAATTTTAAATTAATTGTAACTTATATGATTTTGACCGGTTGTAACTTATGTATAATGAGTGTTGGTTGACCTTCGATCTTACGATGTGTTATCAATTTAAGCCTATTTCTTTCACACACAAAAAAACACTATTTTGAGATTGTTTGCTATTGTATGACACTGTTTAACATTGTTTTGTATTGTTTTATTTATCAAATAAGAAATTGGACATTTTTAAGGGACATAATGAAATTGAAATGCTACTTTGAGATCGAATAAAACTACCTAGGGTAACTTTCCACTCCATATCGTTAGAATGATCGTCGTCTGGTTTATGTACATCACAGGAGAACCGAGTCTCAAACAGGGTTAGTGTATCATCGTCGCTAGCAGTCTCCGGACAAGTTTCACCAGTGCTATCTAGTAGCCAGAAGAAGATGGATTGTTGGCAGTGTGAGACAGAATCGAAGGAGGAGTACAATCTCCACTGTGGCGATGAAGGCCAGGCCGGCTATGGGGACAGGAAGCCTAGAAAAATGTCTAGAGCCTTCCAATTTCAGGGGCCTCCAAATTTTAAAATAAACACATTAGTATTATGTATGTATTGTCAATATTAATTGTAAATGTGTAATTAAACATTAATTTCTAATCCAACATACTTGCAGAAGCTCGAAGGCCCTACTCGATTAGTATGAAGTATTATTTTTAATATATTGGTGGACATATGTTGATGGGAAAATGAAAACTTGATTCCGGATGTACAAAGAGAAAGAACAAATTAAGAAATGATTTGGTTATAAAATTGTTTGTCAGCTCTTTTAGTCGGTTATCGGTACGTAACCATAAAACTTTCTCTCTCAAATATTGCTAAGAACGAGGGTACAAATGTTGTGTTTGAGAATGAGTGTGGGAATGTATTTTTGATTATTTTTTAATCTTTTGCCTTAGAAAAATATGCTCATTACGATAATAGTAGTACGTATATGATGAATTTCATATATAATTTACATCTTTAAAAGAATATTTTGTTTTTATATATATTATTATGTTGATTTTTTTTATTACCCAAAAGGCTGTCGGCATTCTACATTTCTACGTTGGCCGGTTTTCCAGTTGAGAACTTCGAAGATTAGAGGAGCACTAATGTTCGGTATGTTAAATGTAGAAAACTTGAAATGAAAAAAATTTGGTGGGCTCAACAAGCTTTTGAGCGAGGCTAGAATCCAAGTAGTTCGTGGGCTGCTCTAGGGAGGAAGAGCCAGATCATGGACTTCATTTTTAGTGTTACTAGTACTGCACCTGTGCATTGTACGGTGTGTTAGTTTGTGGATGGATAAAACAACCCGAGTATAAGATTTAATGGGTTAGAAAGTTAAAAAACATACATTGCGCAACAAAGAACAGAAAAGTGCAATATGTAAGTTACTGTAATATGTGAAGTTGATTATCATACAGTGTGAAACGTTATAAATTATGGAACACTTCTTTGTAGACAACATTAATCGTCTCATCCTTTGGGCAACCATCTTCGTTTAGAATAATGAGCATTTTTAGACCCGCATGGTTGGTAACTCTTGAAACGACCACATATAATTGCCCATGGCTGAAAACTGGTTTTTTCAATAGGAGACCGACGTGAGTGAGCGGTTGACCTTGACTTTTATTGATGGTCATTGCATAAGAAACCATAATAGGGAATTGTTTCCTTTGAAATCTAAACAGTAGCCTTACATCAGACGAAACTAAAGATGATCCCGGTATCAATACTCTTTGTCCTACACTCGTACCATTTAGAACCATGCCCTCTAAGATGTGATCACACATCTTGGTTATGATGAGTCTTGTCCCGTTACACAAACCTAGTGTCTGATCTATATTACACAAAAGCATGACTGGAGTGCCAATTTTCAAAGTCAACTTGTGATTTGGCACTCCGGAGAGTTTAATACTGTTTAAAAATTCTGGAGTATGCAACTTTGCAATAAGATCATGGGTCGAATCCGACTTGCAGTCAGTGTCTGAACGAAGGTATGTTCTGGAAACTTCGTTGGAATTTAAACCTATCATACAGTCGTTGACCGAATCAACCACCTCAAGGGTTGGAGCAAGAATTGGTCTATCTCACAAGTAATTCAAATCACTACTTGATTTTAGATAATCTGGATAAATGACCTCAACTATCTTAGCAATTGAATCCCCTGAGTACTTGATAAGGATGTCATCAGGAATTTGAATGGACGCATAACCGTCATTGGATTCACCAGCAATACCATCACCTATGCTTGCAATCCAATTAGAAAAAAGCTTCAAGTCATACGATTCTGTAGGGCTATTGAGATTTTGTAGCCTCATGTTCTTAGTCAACCTAAGAACTGTGCATCCCCCCATAGATAAGATGAATTAATCATAGCATTCACAATGTCTTGCCTACTTCCTTGCGGAATAACAGGTAATACTTGTTGAAAGTCTCCTCCCAACACTATAGTTTTACCACCAAATGGCAAGTTCAGACTATTTGTGTTGGTGAATCTAAGAACGTCACGCATACTTTTATCCCACGCCACAAAACAATATTTGTGTAGCATTAAAGCTTCGTCCAAAATTATCAATTTACACTTAGCAATTAGTATGGCAAGTGGACTGCCTGGCTTTATATTGCAAGCTGAATCTTCATTCAAGCTTATTGGAATTGCAAAATGCGAGTGCACGGTTCGCCCTCCAGGAAGTAGTAGAGAAGCAATGTCACTGGATGCCACATTTAACACTATGTCCCCTTTGGACCTCAATGCAGCTGATAATGTTCTCCATACAAACGTCTTCCCAGTTCCACCATATCCTTAAACAAAATACCTCCCTCCACATTCCGTTTGAACAGAATGCATTATCTTTTCATATACAATACGTTGTTCACTTGTCAAACCTTTAACCAATGTTTCATGTTCTTCATGCATCGCTTGACGATCATATAAGAGCTTTTCTTGCACCAATCTATTATTTGAAAGTAACGTTGAGCCTGTTTTGGATATGGCATCGGAGGATAATAACGCAAACTTTTCCCTCTTCGTTGCAACAACAGTTCTATCTCAGTTAATGCCGCTATTTGCAATTGCTCGTTATCCATAACAAATCCTGCAGTACATGGAACGCCGTTTCAATTACCAATTAAAACCATTGCACAATAAAAAACAATATAAATCTTTTCATAAAATCATTACGTAGTTTGTATTGAATATCTTCTGCCATGTATATCTAACATTTGTCCCAAACAAATTCTGGACGGCTCATGGATTCATATCACAACAATATCACAAACAATATCCTTAGCGCAAGTGATGTTGCAAAATCACTTGCCTCAGTAAAACCATCAACAAATTCTTTATCGTCATCCAATAACCCCAATGCACAGCAAGCTTCACGATATGAATTATATAACACGCCATCTATCGTTCTCAAATGTTCATGACACGTCATCCCCCGAATATGGTTTTATAGACATCTCATATGATATGATTCCCCATATCCGGACGGAACATAGTATATTCGACCAATGGCGAATACTTTCTTTCTTGGCATCCATTCCCTTGAAGAACTTTTCCTTACAAATTAATGAGGGAATTCAGCATATGCCATATGTCTTGCCATTTCATACTTTTTGTTCGCATCCATCCAACCCAAAAACATATTATCCTTAACACTCCTCCCTCCAACTATAGAATCAAGAGTATCATTGCCAAAGAAAATGATTGTTTGCTCTCCCTTCATGTGAAATCTAAGACGACCAA